GTTATGATGAGACTGGAAATTAAGGATTATTCCCGCATACGAATCCTTTCTGTATAGTTTACTTTTAAGTGTCCCTCTGGAGCGTATGACTTCAGCATCCAGAAAAGGTAGTCGTTCATCTTTCTCAAGCTCCATTGTAAATTTAATTCTTTCATCAAGTTGGTTAATGAAATTGAGGAATTCACTTAAATTTTTCTTAGCATGTGACCAAAGTGGAAAGTAGTCATCCAAGTATCGCATGAGCACTCTTGGTTGTAGTGGTGACTTCTCGAATTCCCTTTCCAACTTGTCCATGTATCCATTTGTCAGAAGGCGATAGTGGTGATCCCATCGGTAGTCCAAATATTTGCTCATAGATAATGCCGTTAAATGTGAAATATGTCATAACTGTCAGGTTGATTAGTCGTATTAACGACTACTTCCGTATCCGTTCTGCCTCCAGGATGTCCTCTTCTCGCTGCAATATTTCCATTAAGGCGCATATCGCCTTCTCACCTGAGATGTTTGTGTACATGGATTGAACATCGAAACTCACCAACAGCTCCGATCCCACTAACACAATGTTCTGGATGCTTTGAGAAAATTGATAAGAATTCTTGACGGTATTCAAGAGTATGTCATTTACTTTTTTAAGCTTCAAGCAAATGAATTTCGCTAGTTTGTGCATTGCTTCATGCTTGTTGTTGACTATTAGTCTTAAAGGATTCTCTTCCTTGTGTATCTTCGGTAGTCCATAGGCTGTCAGTGGTCTTGCGTCATTTTTTATCAAAGGTTTAATCATCCATTTGTCAATTTCCCCATTATAATGCATTTCCTTAAGCATATCCTCTTGTGTGTCAACCCACAAACGTTGTGGTTCAACATTGAACCAAATCCAAACAAGCTGTACCATAACATTTGGGGGGTTGGCACACAAGAGACTAGAGACTAGGGATAGAAACAGGATAAAGACGGCGGGGACCGGAGCTAGTTGGCTGACAGTATATGGGTTGTACCAGAGGCGTGGTCCATGTATAAAAGGGGTGACCATGACACTCAGAGGCTTACGCCCCGAATTAGTCACCCAGGCGCAGGTGAGGGCGAATAACGCCTCGAGTAGGACAGGTGTTTTGGCAGGATTCGAGTGAAATAGGTGAACAAGGGGTAGGGCAGACGGATTTCACGGAACAAGAGGGAGACTGAGATAAGACTAGCGAAGAGGACTGCATAATAATAAAGCAGACTCTGATCAACACTCCCTGCACAAGGATGGGGGGGTGAGAATGAGAGTGAAAGTGTGATGTCGCTCAAAGGAACACACCACAATATCTAAATAAACACGTTAAAAATTGCAATAGTGAAGGCATGATAGGATTCTACCGGAAACGCGAATAACCCAGGGCAGAAGGGGAGGTACCATAATTGTTTAGCATACGTTTTGTCAAAGGATCGGTTTCACTTGTCTCTTTGACGAGTTGCTGTATGGTGCTTAGGATGGCAATACTCACTGACGATGACGACTA